GGGGGGGGGGGGGGGGGGGTGTGTCTCCTCAAGCCCCATTCCCCCCCCCACCATGGGGGGACCCAGGTGTCCGGGTGGGAATTGGGGAAGGGGGTGGTTGTGTCCCACGGGATTCCCCCGTGTCCAAGCTGGGCCAGAGGTGCCGTCGTGCACCACCACGGGGCGTGTCGCACCATGACGGGGCATGTTGCACCATGACAAGCCGTGTCACACCATGACGGGGCGTTTTACACCATGATGGGCTGTGTTACACGATGACGAGCCGTCACACCTTGATGGGGCGTGTCACACCATAATGAGCCATGTGGCACCATGACAAGCCGTGTCACACCATGACAAGGAGTGTCACACCATGACGGGCCGTTACACCATGACAGGTCGTGTCGCACCTTGACGGGGCGTATTACACCATGATGAGGTGTGTTACACCATGACGGGCCGTGTCGCACCACGATGGGCCGTGCCAGTCCATGTTACACCATGATGAGCTGTGCCAAGCCCCGTGCCGAGCCCCGTTGCACCACGACAAGCCCCATCTTGAGCACTGTTGCACCACGATCTTCCATTTTGCACCATGCCGAGCCGTGTTGCACCACAGTGAGCCCTGTCACACCATGATCTGTTTTGCACACTAAGCCATGCCAAGCCCTGTTGCACCACGACTAGTTGTGCTGAGCCCCATCTTGAGCCCTGTTGCACGATGATGACCCTCGTTACACCATGACAAGCTCCACCTTGAGCCCCGTTACACGATGACAAGCCCCACTGCACCATGATGAGCCATTGAGCCCTGCTGCACCAGGATGAGCCCCATTGTGAGTCCCGTTGCACAATGATGAGCCCCGTTGCACGATGATGAGCCTCACCTTGAGCCCTCTTGTACGATGACGAGCCCCACGTCACCACGTGCACCATGATGGCCCCACGATGAGCCATTGAGCCCTGCTGCACCAGGATGAGCTCCATTGTGAGCCCCGTCGCCCCACGATGAGCCCCATCTTAAGCCCCATTGCACAATGACGAACCCCATTGCCCCACGACGAGTCCCATCTTGAGCCCCGTCACCCCACGACGTTCTATCCTGCCCCACACCCATCCCCACCACCTTCATCCCCGTGCATGTGTGTGTGTGTCCCCCTCCTCTTCCTCACGCCTCCTGGTGCGCAGGGGCCGGCGGGCGCTGCAGCTTGTGGCCGTGGCGGTGCTTTTTGAGGCCGTAGGTGTTGCCGAAGGCCTCCCCGCAGAGGCTGCACTTGAAGGGACGCCCGCCCTGGTGGGTCTGGAGGTGTTTGCTGAAGTACTTGGGGTCCTTGAAGAGCTTGAGGCAGGCGGAGCAGCGCAGGTCGCGGCGGGCGTCGTGGGAGCGCTGGTGGCGCAGGATGGAGGAGAGGTAGAAGAAGCTCTTGCCGCAGAGCTCGCAGCGGTAGACCTTCTCGCCCAGGTGGACCCGCCGGTGCTCCAGGAGGTTGGAACGGTAACGGAAGGTCTTGCCGCAGGTCTGGCAGCGCTGGGGTCGGGCCACCACGTGGAGACGTTGGTGCTCGGCCAGGCTGGAGGATTGGGCAAAGCGTTTGTTGCAGAGGGCACATTTGTAAGCCCGTTCCCCAGTGTGGACCACCTTGTGCTGGCGAAGGTACCAGGAGCGCAGGAAGCCCCGGCCGCAGACGGGGCAGCGGTAGGGCCTCTCCTCAGTGTGGCAGCGCTGGTGCCTCATCAAAAGAGCCGCCTCCCAGAACCTCTTGCCGCAGACGGAGCAGCCGAAGTGGCGCTTCTGGAGGTGCCGGCGGCGGTGGAGGAGGAGGTCGTAGGCGCCGGCGAAGCTCTGGCCGCAGACGCCGCAGGCCAAGGTGCGACGCACCAGGTGGACGTACTTATGGGTGACCAGCCCCAAAAAATGCTTGAAGGTCTGGCCGCAGGTGCCACAGGAGAAGCGCTCGCCGCTGGGCACCACCGGGTGCTCCTCGGGGGGCTGCAGCCCACCCTCGGTGGTAGCCGCCGGTGGGGCCGGTGGCGCGGTGCCCACCCCCGCCTCGGGCAGCAGCCTCTCGGGGGCGGTTTGGTGGACCAGCTTGTGCCACATGAGGTTCTCGATGAAGCCAAAGGCTTTGCCGCAGGCCTCGCAGCCGTAGGGCTTCTCCCCAGCGTGGGCTTCCTTGTGGTTGACGGCGCGGAAGAGGTCGGGGAAGCGCTCGCCGCACTGGCCACAGCCGTAGCTCAGCCCCTCGGGGGGGTGGCCGGCACCGGAGGGGTTGGGACCCCCAACTCCTAAACCACAGGGCAAAGGGAGGCGGTGGATCTGCTTGTGGCGGGTGAGGCTCTGGGGGTAACCGAAGGCTTTGCCGCAGAGGTCGCACTTGTAGGGCCGCTCGCGGGTGTGCACCACGTGGTGCTTGCGGAGGTGGAAGGACTCGCGGAAGCGCTTGCCGCAGACAGCGCACTGGTGGGGCTTCTCCCCCGTGTGGATCCGCTCGTGGCGCTTCAGCGTCTCCCGACGCCCGAAGGCTCTCCCGCAGATCCCGCACCCGAAGCTTTTCCCCGACGCCGTCGACGCCGGTGGCAGGGACAGGAAGGCGCCTCCGCTGCCGTCCCCCGCCTTCCCTTCCCCTTCCACCGTCGCCACGAAGGGGCCGCCAGGGAAGACCGGCAAGACCCCCTTGGGGTAGGTAGCCACGGCAGCGGCAGTGGTGGCCACCTTGGGGCCAGCGGCATGGACCTGCCGGTGCCGCAGGAGGCTCTGTGGGGCAGCGTAGGCTTTGCCGCAGACCTCACACTTGTAGTGGGGGCGCTGGCCACTGTGGGCTGCCTGGTGCCGCAGGAGATAAGCCGGATCCCGGAATTCTTTGCCGCAGACGGCGCAAGGGACGGGCAGGAGCCCCGAGTGGGTCTTGACGTGGCGGGTGAGGCTTTCACGGCGGTTAAAGCTCTTGGCGCACACCGAGCAGCTGAAGGGTTTCTCCCCCGTGTGGATGATCTGGTGCTGGTGGAGGTGGCTGGGCTTCTTGAAGACCTTCCAGCAAAGAGAGCAAGTGAAGGGACCGTCTGGGCCACCGGAAACGCTGGGCGCCGGGGTGGCAGTGCCCGCTGCCAATGTCACCCCGCTGGGGGCCGGGAGAACCCCGCTGGGTGCCAGGATGACGCCACCAGGGGCCGGGATGACGCCGCTCAAGGCCACGTTGACCCCATTGGGCGCTGGGTTGACTCCGTTGGGCGCCGGGATGATGCCGCTCAAGGCCGTGTTGACCCCATTGGGTGACGGGTTGACTCCGCCAGGTGCCACGTTCACCCCATTGGGCACCACATTGACCCCGCTCGCCAAGGGGTTGACTCCGTTGGGTGCGGCGTTGACCCTGTTGGGTGTTGGGTTGACCCCATTGGGTGCCGCGTTGACCCCATTGGGTGTTGGGTTGACCCCATTGGGTGTCGCGTTGACGCCAGTGGCTGCCAAGTTGACCCCGGTGGCCAATGGGTCCACTCCGTTGGGCACTGGCAAGACCCCAGTGGCCCCGTTGGGTGCCGGCACCACACTGGAGGTGGTGGTCACTGCTGGGGGGTTGCCACCGGCCCCGCCGCCCTCTTCCTTGTGGCACCGGCGGTGGCGGATGAGGCTGGAGACGTGGTTGTAGGTGCGGCCACAGGTGCCACACTCGTAGGGCCGCTCGCCGCTGTGGACCAGCATGTGCTGCACCAGGTGGGACGACTGCTTGAAGGACTTCTGGCAGACGCCACAGGGGAAGCGCCGCTCCATGAAATATTTTAGCCGGCGGAAATAACTCTTCTCTTCCTTGGACACCCCCTCGGGGGGGCCTGGGGGGGCCGCTGGGGTCCCCACCGCCCCCGTCCCTGTGGCCACTGCCACTGTCCCCCCCCGTTTCAGCCCCCCGAAGAGGTGCTGGTGGCTGGAGAGGTCCACGATGCCCCACTGGGGCGCATTGAAAGGGCCGGCGGCCTCAAAGATGGGCTGTGGAGGTGGGGGGACGGCCGGGGTGGGAAAAGGGGGGGCCCCCGCTTGCACCCCCACGCCGCCCTCCGCCTTTTTCGGCTGGGAGGAGGAGGAGGAGGAAGAGGAGGAGGAAGAGGAGGAGGAGGAAGAGGAGGCAGTGGCGGTGCCTTCGGCCTTGAAGTCCTTGTGCTTGGT